AGTGCAACAAAACTTGAAATTAGGTAAACTGGACTGTTTGTGTCTGGATAAGCAGCACTTCAGTCCAGATGTACTTTTTAACAGTGGCCTTGCGCTCCAAAGTTAAGAAGGTGAGCATCTTGGGGAGTGACGCTTTTATAGGAGAGTTTAAAGTATAGGTATTCTAGGTCGTTAAAATGTTTCAATGGTTGTGGTAAACACGTTTTTAACATACACCAAAACGTCACGTCTTCGGAGGGCTACGGAAATGCTATCCAAACTGGTAAGCAGCGTTCAAGTTTTTAATCGACTAACTATATTGAAAGTAGTACGCTCAATGTGGTCATAATTGTTACAGTTCTTCACGTATTCCAGGCTTCTGATGCCTTGATGATCGATCCTTTCGACCAGAGTGTCGGACAAGTTCGAGCTCGCATCTTGTTGTTCCAGACTACACAAACCTCCAATTCGGATAGCCTAGTGCGTTCCCCAACCTCGAAAACGCACACCTCAACCCGGACTAACCGTTCCATGCTGCCCGGTCCCCAGCAACATCAACAACACGTTGTTCATTCGGAACTAGATACCGCCCTCGCACCTTCTACAAATCAGATTGGACAACCTTCCCTTGAGTCCCAAGCGAGCTCAACAGTCTCGTCTTTATCCCGGTCAAGTTATGAAGAAACTTGTGTACTAAGCAATCGACTGTCTTGATAACTGGTTGTAAAATTGTGGATACATCAGATTTGCCTTTACACATTCTTTACTCTTTACCTGACCAAGACACGATGGTTCCAGTAATAAAACGCTTCTTTTTCGATGCGCTGTGAGATTGGAGTGATTTTTTTTAAATCCCTGGTGTACGAATCGGATGCAATATCGTATAAGCTTGTGGTATGTTCCACGCTTGCTTCACTATTTGCGTTTCCTATGCTGTTCATCCATTCTGAAATTCACAATTCTACTTTCAGATGAAAGGCTTACTCATAATGTAACTAAACCACAATGAGCTTTCTTTTATTGTCCATATTATAATTACTTTCATCTACCTTGATGTATGATTTCATTTCATGCAAACGCTGTTTGCACATCCCTGTGAAAACCTATTATCCTACATTTGTTACCCGTTGACCACACTTGTGATTCGGCAAATTTCATGCCTCAGGGGGGGGG